ATCCATGATTACATCTATATTATTAACGCAGTCGCTGTGTGGAGTTCAGTTATAAAGTTGCACTAATTATTATAACCGCTGTCTTTAAGTAGCTTAGCTTCATAGTTTCCTGTCAAAGTATTTTGTCCATTTCTGTATATATATATTTCATATTTTACTTTCATTAATGTGAAAGACATCAGCTGCATTATAGGTTTCCACAAAAAGAATGAAGTCATTGACTAAACCCCACTCTGTTATTCTGTTTTCCCTTTCAAACAGTGATCCCTGCAGAATCATTAATGTCTAAGTGTGTGTGTTGGTTTTCCATTTGCCGCGTAGAATCTAATTTCAATCAAAAACAGTGACTGAGCAGGGTAGCGGGGTAGAACTTTTTATTATAGATTTAAATCTTGTGTCACTTGTTGAAAGTTCAGTGATAAAAAAGAAACTATTCTTCGTATTTATCTCAGTAGCATATCTGATTAACTCCATTTATATTTTATTTATTTCTTTATCTGACCCTGAGTCGTGATTTAAATGTGCGTATAGATGAAATAATCTGTTGGAGAGTTTATTCATCCTCCTTTCTCTCTGTTTTCACAGCTCTTGCAGGTAAAATCTCTCCAACCACCTCAGATGTTCTCTTCAGCGCCTCAGCAATGTCAGCCAGTCCTTTACCACCCAGTGTCTATTTGCCTGCCAGCTTCAAAATGTCCAATGCACAACTGGCTTTCTTCTTGCGGGAGGCCCAGATCACAGGACAAACGGTTGGCGGCGGCAGCAGGAGCAGCAGCAGCAGCTCTGGACATCCGCTGCAGCGCTCGGAGAGTTTTGTGGTTTTCCAGACAAAGGAGCTCCCCTCCATCAACATAAGCTTTGGGCCTTTTGCCCAGGACCAGGCTTTATCCAAGGAGCTGCTACAGCCAACCAGCCCTCTGGACATCCCGGGCCAGCTGACGGTGGGCTGGAAAGTTCGGGCTTTCATTGTCCAAGCGAGGGTCTTCTCCAACAACCCGACTGTCCAGGTGTTCTTCTACATCGCGGGACGAGACTGGGATGACTTTAAAGCTCAGGACAACCTGCCTTGCATTCGACTGCATGCTTTTCGGGACGTCCGGGAAATCAAGACGTCCTGCCGCATGAAGGGCAACCTGGCCCAATGCTTGGCCCAGCTGGAGCTACCCCCCTCCTGGTTTAATACTAACGTGGCGCCGCTGGGTCGGAGGAAAAATCCCGGTGACGGGCTTCTAGATGGAATAACTACTGAGACCCTGCAGGCTGAGCTCTACTACACGCTGCATGAGCCCAATCTGGACGGAGAGTGCAGTGAGGGTCACAGAGGAGGTGGCGTGGCCAGAGGAGAACCTCTGTCACAGCACCCTCTGCTGCGCATTGGAAGTATCAGTCTCTACCAGGCCAGTCAGGAGCAGCTCCTGGTGGACAAGCAGTTGGACAAGAATATGTTCCTCAGGCTGCCGGAGAAGCCGCTGAAACCTGGCGAAACGCTGAAGATCCTCCTCTACCTGATGCCCAACTCCACTGTGGAGCAATTTACGCTCAAGTAAGTCTCCTTTCAGTGTTTTACTGAGGCTCTGGTGTCTTATAAATACACTAAACATCAGTGCTATCACATTTTATGTGTTTAAATTCATAAATCGTCAAGTAAATATGCTCAGCATTTAATTTATTGCATTTTAGTAAATGAATAATCCACTTATCGTAATTTTAGGGTATAGTTTTTAGGTTAAATTATAGTGTATATTATACAATATCACTAGAGGAGGATAATCCAGGTCCAGAGAGTGAAAACCTTTGCAGAGATCAGATCCAACTGTTTGTATTTCCAGCCTAACATCACAGACTGGAGGCTATCAGCTGATGGAGTGAAAATGATGAAAACTGGAAATGATTTTTAGTTTCTTGACCTGAGCTATCTATCTTTAAATGTCACCAGATTTATTTGATATGTATATTTTTTGTATGTGCACATTTTTACATAAGCAGAAAATTTTTTTTAATCTGCACATTTTTGCATAAGCAAAAATTTTTCTTTTAATCTGCAAATTTTTGCATAAGCAAAACATTTTTTTTAATCTAAACATTTTTGCATAAGCAAACATTTTTTTTAATTTGCACATTTTTGCGTAAGCAAAAACATTTTTATTATCTGCACATTTTTGCATAAGCAAAACTTTTTTTTTAATCTGCACATTTTTGCATAAGCAAACATTTTTTTTAATCTGCACATTTTTGCATAAGCAAAAAAAATGTTTTTAATCTGCACATTTTTGCATAAGCAAAACATTTTTTTTATCTGCACGTTTTTGCATAAGCAAAAAATTTTTTTTAATCTGCACATTTTTGCATAAGCAAAACATTTTTTTTAATCTGCACATTTTTGCATAAGCAAAAAATTTTTTTTTATCTGCACATTTTTGCATAAGCAAAAAAATTTTTTTTATCTGCACATTTTTGCATTAGCAAAACATTTTTTTTCAGTAATACAAACAAAACCCCAGAATGTAATTGTTGATTCTTATCACCTGAATTTAGCTGATGTAGTTTTATATTATTTTCACTCCTACGTGTTCCTTAAATGTTTGAGATCATCAAACAACTTTAGAGATCAGACAAAAGTAACGTTTTTTTTCTTTTTTAAGTGATGATGCTATTTTTAGGGTCCAGCAAGGCCCTAAGAGGAAAATGGAGGACCCTCCTTTCTTTAGCTGTTACTTGTGATTATGTTGAGTTAAATTTCAGTAACCAAACCAAGACCCAATGAAAAAGATACTTTACTAGAAGCTATTGGACAACATGAAGTATTTTAAAATATGGTGAAACATGCAGTGAAACAGCACATGAAACATCCCATCATGTACTATTTTACAAACTGGTGCCAGGAAGCCATGCTGGAACTGAATGTTATTAAAACAAAGGACATGTGTATCGATTTTAGGCACAAGACCTGCAACCCCTCTACAACCATCATAAACGGGCAAGACATTAAAATTGTTCATCAGTATAAATATCTTGGGTCTATCATAGATGACAAATTAACCTTCAACAGCAACACAGACATGCTGTGTAAGAAAGGGCAGCAGCGCTTATACTGCCTGAGAAAGGTAGCCAGGTTTAAGGTTGACAAAACTCTGATGAACATGTTCTATAGATCTTTTATAGAGTCCATACTTACCTTCTCTGCCATCTGCTGGTACGCTCTTCTTAATGTAAAGAACAAATATGCCATATCTAAGATTATTAAGGTGTGCAGTAAGATCACGGGTGTTCAACAGAAAAACATGACTGAAATGTATGAAGATCAGGTAATCAGGAATTTTGGATAATTATACCCATCCTCTACATAACGAATTTCAGTTTCTACCCTCTGGTTCCCGTTTTAAATACCCACCAGTTCGGACCAACAGATACAAACACTCCTTTATTCCCTCTGCTGTTCAGCTGCTAAACTTCACTAGGAAAAGCAGATAGCTATTTGTTGCATGCATTCAGGCCTACGCTCTCATTCATCCCCTGCACTGCACATTTTGTTTTCTCTCTTTTATCCACCTTACTTTTATATTTTTAAAATATTTTATGTGTTTCTTCTTTTATTTTTCTTGAAAGGTGTACTACTACTACTACTGCACAAAAATTGTGCATACTGGGACAAATAAAAGCTACTGAACTTAAGATACCGTATCAAAAAGCGGCACACTCCAGAACAGATGAGAAACAGTCATTGTGTATAAACCAAAAACCCCAACAGTAGTTCAAACCTAGGATGACAATATGTTTGTTTGATAATTATTTATTATCAAACAAATAAAATAAATAAAAGTCTTTCAGTTTTTTCATTTTTCGGCAGATGGCCGCTGGTTCTGCTGGAGGTTTCTTCCTGTTCAAAGGGAGTTTTTCCTCTCCACTGTCGCTACAAGCATTCTTAGTGTGAGGGATTGCTGAAGAGTCAATGAGTCGATGCAATCAGCTCAGTGTATTCTCATTATCAGTTCGTATGAAATCGTACGAAAAGTTATGCACAGTATTTCGTACGTTTTCGACGTTTCGTGGTATTTCGTCGTATTTTTACGTCTTGCCTCGAGACAAGATATCCGTGCGCATGCGCATCTTACGCACCATTCAATAACATAAAATTTAGCATACAATTAACCCTGACCCTACACCTAACATACAATGTTTATCAACTTACCAGACCAATTAGCTACTGACCCTAATATTAGTGGAATCCATACCTAAACCTAACACCTGACCCTTGCCTTAAAATTACACTTAGC